GTGGAGAGAGCAGGAGCACAAGGGAATGTGTGTGAGTGCACTGAGGAAACAGAGATACCTGATCTACCCCACATGCTGTCATTAGTTAAGGAAAAATGCATAAAATGTTATGCAAATAAGTAACATAATAAGCATTTTTAAAAGGTATATCAACAGAACTGGCACAGAAGTTACTCCAGGAAAGAATCACAACTTCAGCTCATTCAAATTTCAGCTGATGGGATGCAGCAACACAAAGCAAGCAGAGCTGGGGATGTGTTTTTGTGTTCCTGAACAGGTGATGCCCTCTAAGAGGCTCTGACCATTATTAAAACCTCTCAATTGCTGTGAAGAACAGACCAAGGGCCAAATCTCTTCCAGGGCTTCAAAGCTCAGCATTATACTCAGCGGCTCAGAGCACAATCTCTATCTGCAACAACAAACCACCTTTATACCATGCAGGTAATTACAGGTTCAGGTCAAGGACTGCAGAGCAGATTGATTACATCTCTCAGCAGCAAGGAGCCTCCAGCTCTGCCTGCTGCACCGAGGCAGAGCAGCTGGGGCAGCCGTGACGCCGCGGAGGAACGGCAAAGCAGCCCCAGCTCAGGCCTGGCAGCTCTTGCCTGTGGCAGTCAGGACAGCCTGGGAATTCACAATGTTGGGGACTTCATCTGCCAGCTGCATTCACACATCTTTACTACCTGAATAACTGATCTCTGCTACTCCGAGGCAGCACTTTGTGGTGTACAGCGTTGGGGAATGAATATTTGATAGTGAGTACAACAGAAAAGAGCTCAGATGGTTTAAGGTGTGACAGCAGGAGTGTTTATTAAATTCCAAGTGAGAGCAGCGCTGGACAGGCAAAATGTGTCCCTATCTCACAGGTGTGGTGATGAACAATAAGAGATCCTTCATGGGCAAACTCCCTCCCCCACGAAACCCAAAGCAATTCTTCTGTTCATTAAAGCCAATGAGCTTCTGCCCACGACCAGCCAGTCACACACAAAAGAAAGGGAAGTACTAAATTACAAGCTGATTTTAAGTGGGCATTGATTGAAGTAACCAGAAGAGAACTTAGTACTGTCAGAGTTTCACACAACAGTCATAAACAATGCTCATTAAAAAATGATGTGTGCATCCCTGAGCAGCTCTGCACTGCACCCAGGTTTCAGAGGAGAACGGAAAGGTTCCCCCACCCCACGCACAATCAGAGGGGAAAAACAGCCTCAGCATCTTTTTCTTCTATGAATTTTGTTTTATTCATTCATGATACCATTCATTAAAATCCTTCCCACTCTAACTTCTGCATTTGTCCTAAGGAAGAAACAGAGATAAATGATTCTATTCTATGATCTCCTCTGAGCAGGAAAAGGTTGGTGCAAAAAAAGAGAGATCAGACAACTTCTTTGTCTGTGTTCTCCTACTCCACTAACAATGCAACGAAGTCATTACTTGTTTGATGGGTAAGTGTCCAAAACCTCTTTGTGTGAGGGAATAAACAAAGCTGTTCATAGACAGACACAGATGCAGCCACTTCTCTGAGCAGAGCAGGACTGAGCTCCAGCTGGGACTGAGCACAGAGTACCTGAGCCCTGGCACATGTGCTGCATCCAGGGAAACACTTGCCCATACACTCAATGCAGCTGTGGGAGCAAATCCATTGGGATCAGGAACTGCTGCAAAATCCTCTCTCTAGAGGTTTTCTGGCTCTGAAGGCTCAGAGTTGTCATCCATGCAAATATCCTAACCTCCTACATCCTTAATTTCTGCATTCTTTATTATTCATAGAGTTCTATCAGGTTTGATTTGTCAGGTATGTGACATGCATGATATGTATCACTCCTCCCCAGGTTAGAGCATGGACATTCAGAGAGATGCTTGGTTGGTTTGGGTGTGTAAAGAATGTCATTTTCTGCTGCAGCATCTCCTGCAAACAGGAGAGAGTTTCTCCTTCATCTCTGGTGTCTAATAAAGTCTTAAATGTAACCTGACTCACCAAGACTTACCCCATGAGCACCAGCAACAGCCTGGGCACAAGTTTGGGAAGGATGGACACACACCTTGGTATGCACAGTGTGTGGTTACTACCTGTGCAGCAGTTCTTCTCCTGCTGCTTCACCATTAAAGGCTTTCTGATTTCTACAGACTTAGTGTTGTCCCTTTAACATTTCCAACTGCCAATCTGGAACAGCATCTGGAATTACAGTGCATTTAATCCTTGGGGGTATATTCTCTCTGTGATGCATATGACTAAAATGTGTGCACTGAGGGACAAATGTCCAGTAGCTTTAGGTGACTTTACAAACTTTTCCTAAAGATTTGGCTTAAAAAAAAAAATAAAGCAGAGAAAAATATTTTAGGAGAATTTTAAGCTGAGATAACCATATTGAAATTAGTGGGGGGGTGTCATTTCTCCAAGTTATCTTTACAGATACAACCACCCAAGTTGGAAATAGCATTGCAAATTTTCACTGTCTATAATATGAATCATTCATCATTCACATTATCAGGGCTTTGTAGTTCTTACAGGAAAATTTTTGCAAATGATCTGAGAGATTGTCACTAATACACCCCAGTTCTATAGACATGTGAAAATGATGATAAAAAATAGACACACATTTCTCATTAAACACAAGAGAGCTGTCACCAGTGGGGGAGAAGGAAGGAAGCTATCAAGGATGCCAGAAGGATAATGGGAGATGATAAACATGTACTTGAAATCTTTTGATAGGAAGGAGAAGTGATGAGTCAGATAAGCAGAGGCGCCACACGGGTTGTATCTCCCAGCAACAGGCAGTGAAACCTCCAGATAAGCATCTTCAGAAAGTGCAACAGGCTCAAATGCACAGGTCAGAGCTGCACAATCACTTCCTGGTTCAGCCCAGGCAGGAAAAAATTTATGACCTACTTCAAAATCCTTCAAACCTGTATTTTCCAATCACTTTGCTTTCCATAAAGAACATCAGCCATTAGGCCATGCCTTGGGAATTGCAGGAAATGAGAATACTTGCAGTAGTGGACTGTAACACAAGAATGCAATGTTGGGCACGAGCAGCACTGAAAACAAAACCTTCACAGCCAGAGCTCAGCTTAATGCAATTTTCTGCACATCTCAGAGGTGGAAAGAGAAGGAGATAGGTATAAACTACTCTTATTCCCTTTGCTGGGCAAGAATGGCTTGAAATCTCAAAACACAGTGTATGTTTTTGCTTTGAGGCTGTATTCACTCCCATATACCACCAAACATAATGTAATATTTGGACCAACAATTCTTGCCTGGGAAAGGACAGAAATGCAAATAGATGGCAAAGTCCCTGAATCAAACACCAATTCAAATCCAACCTGTCTGGCAGTGAGGAAAATGAAATCCTGCCATTATGTCCCTAGCACAATCCACGTATTGCTTGTAAGAAACTTATGAGGTGTTACAACAAAACTGAGTCACTGCTGCACAGTAAATATGTTTTCAGGGTCCCAACAATGTATACAATGGAGATTTTAATATGGACACACATGTTAAAGGCATTACCAATGGAGCTTCAGCACATTCCCACGAGGCAGCTCATGTGACAGCCTCATCCACACGTCAGGGAAAGCTGTTGAGCAGGGAAGAGGTACAGTCCTATCTGTCCATTGTTTCTATTGTGGGTGGAGTGGTTTGGAATATGTTATGGTGGCAGAAGAGTCAGAATTCTTACCCAGCCCTGCCACAGGTGAAGGCATTGATCCCACAGCAATTCCCACCCTCATATCTGCATCAGTGGTATGAGGATCAGCTCTGCCCTGAACTTAGCCTTAAGTGCCACACACACAGAGCACAGCACACTCCTCTGACTCCAATCTGAAACCTTCTGGGGTAACAGGCACTGATGAACTAGTCCAAAAAAATCACAACTGGTGCACTGATTTTTCTCCTTCTGTATCCACCAATTCTTTTCAAAATGACTCTAGTAAACCAAACTTTAACTAAGCAGCATCAGATGTTTGTCTAAGCCCAACCTGAATTAGTTCAACAACTTTTAAATATCTGAATTTATGAGGACAATTCTCAACATCCAAAGTAAATGTGGTTATTATTGAACTCGGTTACAAACACATATAAGAAATATCTCGTCACACCCAAATAAATTCATTTGGCAAACAAAGCAACATCTTGGACTCAGCATTTGTATCAACAGCAAACAGAGCCTGAAACAGGAGCTTTTATTTTACCTCCCTCTAAACCAACCTTCAGAAAGCTGTTCCTGTATGTGTTACAGTCTCTTTTTACAGTTTAACCTCAATCCAATCAGCAGCCTCCAGGGATTTTCAAATCACTAAAGATTAAAATCCTCTCCGACTTGCCTGTTTGACTAATGCTGTGTGTTTAATAATTCTACTTGTGAGAGATTTTATTTGACAAAACCCTGCTGTGAGCACCCTCGGCCACTGCACAGCTGCAGCACAGCGCAAAGCTCTGCTGCCCTTGTTTCTTTAGCTCAACATGAGGGAAAAAACAACTTTATAGCACATCTATTGCTCTGTTGATACTAACATAACCACCGTGGTACTAAATTTACACACTCTTGCAGAGCAGAGCAGTGAGAATGTGCCCATTACACAAACATGAGATAAACCCTCCTGTTGTCCTGACTGTTCACAGAAATCAATTACATTTATGATGACGTTGCAACGAGAGCTATTTGACAAATGAGATGAAACTGTAATATTCTCTGCTTTAGGCATTCATTAATAAAAGCATTTCAGGGTTAGCACTTGCAAACGTTCTGCTTTTGGGTTTAAGGCAGTTTTTAGCAGAGCTGGATGAGAGCTCAGGTTAAACTTTCTGTGAATTGTGTGTCTGGGTCTCACCACAACATCGGGACTTCACGAGAGGGGAAAAAAAACATTCATTACACGACAGCACTTACCAAACCATGAGATCCCTTGCAGTGTTAGTCAAGGTGTTACCAGACAAAACACAGCCCAGACAGAAGACACCAGGAATACTGAGGAAAGTAAGGAGGAAGGTTCCCTACCTGAGGTAGCATCGATGAGGGTGGAGGCCCCGCGGCGGTCGGCGGTGGGACGCGGTGACCCCGGCATGCTCACCGGCTCCGAGCGCACCGGCTGGATCCTGGAGGAAGCACAAAGCCACGGGCAGTGCCCAGCAGAGCTGCAGCCCACCACAAACCCAGATCACCTGCCAGCAATCAAGCAAGCACCTGAAACCTGGTTCAGCTGGTGCAAAGCTTTGCCTTCCCGGTGCAGAGCTGATGAGCCACCCAGAGACAGAGTGAGGCTTACACAAAGGAGAATCCTCCTGTCCTCCTGGGATTGGAGCTCTCAGGAAGCCTCCAAAGAAAAAGCTCATCCCACCCAAACTGGTTAGAAAGCCTCCACTGCTCTCCACAGGTGCAGCATTTAGTCACTTTGGAAGCAAAGACAAATTGTCATTATCTTTTCTTTCTGTACCACATGGCAGGTTAGTGCTTGGACCTGATGATCTTAAAGGTCTCCTCCAACCTTGCTGATTCTGTTATTCTATAGATCTGTAGTAATTTTCCTAAATTCTTTCTTTCTTCATACACAGACATACATGCACCATAAAAATCATCATTTGACAGCTATATCCTTACTCGTGACAGTAATCACACCCCAGGGGAAATCACACATTTCCAACCCATGGATTTCCAGCCCAAGGACAATCTGCCCAGTTTTAATGGGATTAGTCATGTTATCCATCTCTCTTATTTTACTCCTAAGAGTTTCAGATAGAATCCCAAACAATCCAAGTCTCTACCACAGAACTTTGGGCTTCAAATCACATGCAGAGTCAGAGACATGGAAACTTGTTATGTCTTGAGTGTCTGGGCAGGACACAAACACATGGTGCCTAAAGCTCTTCTGCAAACCACCAGTAAATATAAACCCATGATTACTTTTGCTCTCCTTCCTTCCCTAGGCTCACCCTCTGCCCACTATTTCAAATCAGCCAATATCCAAAACCAGATGAATTCAATACATGAAAAAGAATTACAGGGAAGGAAGCAAAGGAAAGGGGGAAAAAAAAACAGAGAGGAGGAAAACATTCCAGAAGTTCTCTTACTGTTCCCACACACTGATGCTGACAGTCAGCATCTAAATCTATGGCACAAAGCTCCCACTCATGTCTGAGAAAATGAATTAAGCAATGCAGAAACTGTGAAAGCCAAGGGGACACTGAGCAAAGCCACCAGGCTTTGTACTCTTTGCCTGTTGTGGGCCCAGGAAGGAGCAGCAAAAGGAACCTGAGCTGCTTGGCCTGGATGGATTTTTATTGCTGATGAGTCACGAGCTCTTCTTAGACTTTCATCTGGACAAGCCTGATGAAAACTATTACACATTCTCCCCAGATGGCCTCATTTAAGCAGGAGGCAAGTTATTCACACAACAAATGGGAACCAGCTTGGAAATTGGGTTTGGTTTTACCTGAGACTGTTGAGATCCAGATCATCTGTGTCGAAGTCCAGAAGGGGCTGAGGGGTATCGCTCGGGCCGTGTGACTGCAGCACGGAGGAGCTGGAGGAGATGACAGTGGTTTGGCCTGAGGGGTGGATTGTTTTGAACTGGAACTGTGGGCCCATCCACAGGCGGCGATGGGGCCCAGTGTGAGTCACTATTTCGACCTGTGGGAAGGGAATATGGGAAATGATTAACACCAAACTGCTGCTTAGTATAATGAATGGTTCCCTCAGTGTGC